ACAACAAAATACTTCACATAAAAGCATATTTTATATCCCAAAGTTAAATTTTAAATATCCACATAACAGTAGATGGCTAATTAAATGATTACTGCAAAAAAGGCATTAGGAAACTTTTTAGAACAAGGGAAATGTTTTTTAACTTGATTGTGTTGGTAGTAACAGAGATATATGTATTTGGTCAAAACTTACTTAATTAGACACTTAAAATGAATGCATTTTATAAATGCATTTTATTGGAGGTAAATTACATTCCAATAAACTTGATTTTTAAAACTATAATCATTCAGCTCAGTTAGAAAAAGAACATTTTACATACAGTACCTACAAATTCCACAGTTTTCACAATGATACTGCTTCTTGTCTTTGTCAAACAGATGGCATATACTGCAATAATATTCTCCAAACAATGTGCTACATTCTTCACAAATCTGTTGGGCCTAAAAAAGGCATGCATAATTAAAAATTGGAATAAATTTACCAAAACATTTGATATTACTATTTGAATATCCAGAATTTATATTGAAGTATAAGCAGGTTTTTACAAGTTTTTAAACATTTAAATCAAAGATACTGTTTACTTTATAAGAGTTAAGAAGTCTTAATTTACAACATTAAGTTTTTTAGACCACCTTAGTGAAGCAAGCTTTTTTAAAAAGAAAAAACAGAAATATGTGATAAAACCTTACATGCTGAATTTTTTCACAGTTTATGCACTGCACTTCTTTTACTTTAAAGCGATCTAGCTGATGATCTTCATTGTTATCATGACACAAACGGCAAGTATAAAGCTTGTCACAGCAAGGTGCCTAACCCCCAGGAGAGAAAGAGAGTTATAAGAGAAGACACGACTGTAATACAAAGAGGAATTTAATACTATAAAGATTATATTGTAGTTTGTTTATGCTTATTAATCATCAACTATACACCTGATACTTTAGAGAATGTGATAAATACAAGAGAACCCTTGTTTCCAAGAGTGGCAAAGAATGCAAGTTGTCTACCAAAATCTACTCTCTCCTTCTGGGCATGATTGCCCAGCTGTACTACAGTTCCCAGACTTCCTGTCGGCTGAGGCCAAAGTGAGTAAGTTCTTACCAAAAGAATATAAGCAGAATCAGTACCACTTCTAGGCCCGAGTACTAAGAAAACGGCAAGTACTCTGTTACTTTCCCCTCTCCTAAATGCTCTTTCCCCTTTCCATTAGATGAAGCCTGGACATGGTAGCAACCCAACTGTTAACTATATGCCCTAAAACATGCCAAAAGCATTCAAAGGGAAAAACTTGTCGCTAGAGTGATCAAGTAGAACAGAGCCCCATCACCAAACTGGAACACTCACCTTGGGATTGTTAGGAGGTAAGAAAGAAACTATTCTTTCACCCACATTACAGTTAGGTCTTTTTGTTAAAGCAACTTAGCCTTCTTACCCTAACTAGTACATCAAAAAGTTTCCAGGCAAGCAATTTAACCCAATACTTTCCAGTTACAATGTGAACTTGCAGATCCACTCAGTTTTAAAGACTTACAACACCAATATTTACCATTATACAGTTCATTCCTTAAAAATTTTAACACTGAACTCTCTCCCTTTCTCTCCAACACTACTGCTTGTCCTAATCTTAGTGATCTGCACATCCACAATGATAATCTTTCCAACAGTCTGAACTCAGTTCCTTTCCTTTCTCACTTTCAATGGCCTTGTCCTCCAACCCTTCTCAGCCACATATTCTCACAGTGATACCACAGAACAGTGGCTCTCAAAAGTTTTGGTCTCAGGACCCCTTTACATTCTTAAAAATTGCTGAGGACCCAAAGAGCTTTTGCTTATGTGAATTTTATCTATTCATTCTTTCTGTTATAAATTAAAACTGATACACTTTTAAATATTACTGCTTTTTAGAATAACAGTAACAACCAGCCCATTGCATTTAATCAGTTTTGGTCGAAGTATATGAACAAAATTTGGCATCACATAAATATGTAGTTGGAAAAGGTAGGAGTATTTTACATTTTAATAGCCTTTTCAGAGAATTATGGAAAATCTTCTGATACTATGCCAAAATTCAACAACTCTTCTAAAAGGTTAGTTGCAATATGGACTGTGAAATCATCGATGAATTTTTCTCCATGTTACTTTTCTCCCTCAAAATCCATTGATCTATCCTGCACTTTGAATGGATATTTTACCCATGCATTGATCATCTGGAAAGTATCAGTTCACTGAATTATGTAGATCTTCCAAATGTTCACATATTTGACATACAATTTCAAAAAAAATCACACTCGTTAATACCACTATCCATCCGATCAGAAAAGTCTTTAGATACTGGGACACTATGAAGTTCACAGAGGCTAATACAAGTTTTCCAAAATTCATATTTTTACATGAAGGCTCAAATTCTATTACCGTCTGTTGTTTTCCTTTTAATGACAGTTTCACTCCCCTTCTTTTTGAGAAAATGTCCACAGAATACCCAAATCTGAATAACCACAGTTCAAGTGAAAAATACTGTTCCATGAAAAATGCAACTCGTTCAGTTCACAATCCAATTGCACAAGAGCTTTTCCTCACAACCACCATCTAAACTCAGTTTGAGGAAGTGCTTGAAGGAAACATCGTATTTCATCAAATATGCAAAAAGACGAGCATTCAGGGGTTGAGATTCTTATAAAATTCATAGTTTAACAGCTTTAATTTTTATCAATGACATTCTTAAGTGAATCTGGGTTTTTACTTCTGATAAACTATAAATGTAGTTAGTATAGGTCAGTGTCAGTGCTTTGATCCATGCTAAGGTACCAGCAGTTTAAATCATTGCTTTTGTACACACTTGCCAAGACAAATAATGTCTCAGTATTAAAAAGTACTTTTGACCTTGAGGATCCCAAAATGGCCTCAGAAATTCCTAGGGGTCCATTTACCACACTCTAAGAACCACTGCTCTAGAACAAGAACTGACCTATTAGCATCTTAATTTCAAGCATGAAAATCTCTAACTACTATTTCCCCTCTTTCCAACTCACTTCAATTCTTCCTTTGCACATACCCTAGAGCTCCTTCCTTCTCTCTTCTATATATTCACCTACCCAAAATTCCAAATCTGATTAAATCCAACTCTCTCCAACTTAACCTATACAGGAACACCTGGATATATAGCTAAAGAAAAATCACCACCATGCCAACTGACCTCACTTCTAAGTCAAAACCACTAATAAAAAGTGGGCTCTTAATACCATGTCTCCCTTATCGATTACTTCATTTTTCTAGTCTAGGATCTAGGATCTAGATAATTATTTCACATCTTCTCTTTAAGCCTCAAACACCTTTCTCCCTCCTACACTATGCTGACAACCTTGCTTATTTCACTATGAAAACAGGAAGTATCAAAAGAGAACACCTTCTACAAACTCTATCAACCTACTTGCAAGTGCACCTCACACTCTTGTATTTCCTGCTGTTACACAGCCTACAGTTCATGTTTTTATCTAAAGCCAACTCCACTTCTGCAGTGGATTCCATCTTCTCTTTGGCTACTGGAAAACAGTGCTCCTACCTACAGTTTCCCACCCCCTCCTGCATTATAAAATGTTCTCATTTTATTGGGTCATTTACAAGAATATACAAACATGCAAAAATACCTCTCGTCTTAAAAGGTAAAAAAAAAAAAAATCCCATGATCCCACATCTCCCAGCAACCACAACTTTTTTCTTGCTTTTACAGCAAAACCCCAAGAAATGTCTCTAAAGGCTCCTTCTAGTTCCAGTACTCCCATTCTCTCCTGAATCCACTCCAAACAGGCATCGTCCCAATCTCTCCCCTAAAACTTCTCGTTAAGATCACTAGTGGCCTCCTTGCCAAATTTAAAGGTCAATTTTCAGTCCTTACCTTACTAACAGCACCATTTGATACTCAGAGCCAAGTACCTTAGCATTATGAAACACAGATGTATTTGTGTGGTTTGGGGTGGAGTGGGGAACATAATATTAAGTTCAGTTATAGACCTCAAGCTTGAAAGAGTAACAGAACAGCTCACTGGAAACATAATCATAAGGATAGCATTCAATTTCTTTACACAACACTAGGTAAATCATCAACCTTGAAAAGCTTCATCCAGTGCAGGGAGATAAGGTCACCTAACCATGGCCCACAGGAAAGGCCTCAGATTTCCCTTACAGGTGTCACACTTCTTTATGAAACAAGAACTTCTAACACCCCTAATTTATATATGGAACACTTGCTCAAAAGCACTGGGCTACTAAGCGGCAGAGCTAAGATTTGGGGATACGGCTGCATGACTCTGAACCTCAGGCTTTTTAAGTGAAATCTTTAAATTGCTCCTTGCCAAAAAAATAAAATCAGTAAACTTTAATTGGATAGATGTCTATTTTTTAAAATTCTAGACTTACTAGGAATTTTTCTAAAAGGAAACAGCAAAAGTAACAATATGCATACTAGGCACCTTGCTAGACATAATTTCCTACTTGGTGGCAATTACACGATTGTCTTCCTATTTCACATACACATTTTCTCCTCGTAGGTTTAGGCATACTCGTAGTCTAAAATAATGCTGGCAAGATGTAAAACTTATTTATCATATGGGTTGAAATCGTATTCTGATTCTCCACTTGCTTATCCCTTCCGTCTTCATTATTCTATCACAAACCTGAACGCCATCCTAGGGAAAGCCAGCACTGGCCAGGGTCTGCCTCAGTCTACTTCCAGGAGCAGCAGACTAAATAAATGTGTGCAAGCCCAGGATCTTCCCAAGCAAGGCTCTATTTGCAAAGCACAAAACAGGACGAAAGGTGGGGGCCTTGCCAAAAACGTTCTCTAGAACAGGAACCCAGCCCGAAGTGAAAAAGGTATCCTGATACACTCCCAAACCCATGCCTAGCCTCCTTACCCACCCCGCCCAGAGCCGGGCCCGGGGAAAGTCTGTAGGGGAAAAGCCCATTGAAGTAGTCACCTTTAGGAGACATCCTCTGTCATAGTGCTCGCAGCCTCGGGGCCCTCGCTCCTGACCGCGGGCGCCATGTTCCAGGGCCGAAGTAGCCATCTCCTCCACCTCCGCTCACACTCCGCGGACCCTTCCCCCAAGGATGAAAACCACGCCCAGAGAAGCTGCGTAGCTCCACCACACCCCTTCCCGGCTGCAACTTCTCCCAGAGCCAATATGGCGGTGGATCACGTGGTCCGGATTTCCGGTTCCCAGGGTGACGGGGCGGAAGTGGATGGAGACGCAATCTCTGCTGTCGATGTTAATGCTGCCGTCGCTGCTAACGGTAATAACTCTTAGGTTGCCTCTTCTATTTCCCCCATCGCTACCTGCCCAGCCCCTGGGCGTGGTTCTGGGCGAGGAGGACGGCAGCGGTGCGGAGACGTCCGTGCCCTCTGAGGAAGGGACGCTGCCCGGCCGCGTCCACACCTGTGACAAGGCAGCCCCTCCCTTTCTCCCTGCGCGGCCCTGAGCCTCGAGAAGGGGGCGGAGCTCTGCCGGGCCCTGCGCTCCGCTCGCAGAGGCCCGGGCGCGCGCGCTCGTTGCTGGTGCTGCGGAGTGCGCCGGCACTCACGAGCACCTCGACCTGCTTCTCCCCTACGTCTCTCCCCTTTACTTGCTTTTCATTCCTTCAAAATAATGAATTCACATTTACTATGTGCCAGTCACGGGTTCAGCCATGCGGACACAAAGAAAAAGCACACGCCCCACCATGCCCTCATGGAACTCACAGACTGGTGAGGGAGAAAGACATTAATCAGAATCACTGAAATAAATGTACGATTACAACTTTGAGGAATGCCAAGAAGGAGAAGTTTGTATTCTGTGAGAGTTAGTACTAGAGAGGATTCGATTTAATCTGGGTGTCAAGGAAGGTTTCCCTGGGGAAGCAACAGGAGCTGAAAGAAGTAGGAGTTAGTGTGCAAAGGCCTTGTGGCACAGAGACAGGTGCTTTTACGAAGCAGTGGAAGGGAAATGTGTAAGCCTGTAAAATTGGAATCAGACGCCTCAGAATGCATAGCTAAATATGATTTGCCTTATTAAAGAGCCAAGTCCCTGAAAATTTTTTGAGCAAAGCTGCAGGTGTTGGAAGAAAATACATGCCTTGGGCTTTCTAACATGATCTCACATTACCTAAAACATACTGGGAAATGTTAAGTATGTACCCCTTAGTTTTGAAGTTACTAACTCTTACCGTTTTAATTTTCTTGCAGTTCTGTTACGAGTTCCTAAAATCATGGTGAAATGTTGCTCGGCCATTGGATGTGCTTCTCGCTGTTTACCAAATTCCAAGTTAAAAGGACTGACATTTCACGTGTAAGAATCCACTGTAATTAAGTCAAGAGCTTTTGCTGTTATAAAAAGCAAAAGACGGTTCTACTCAAGTCTTCAATTTTGAACTTTAATTCCCAAGTCTTAAATAACTTTTTCAGATAAATTTAAAGTGACAGTGATAACTTTACATTTCATAATTTACTTTAGAAGTTTTAAGATACCTACCAAGTTATCAGAAGCTGGTTAACAAAAATTTATTTATTTTTACTAATATTTATTATTTACTAATTTATTTTTACTAATTTTATTTATTTTTACTAATATTATTACTTTGCATTTTAACATACAAAGAAATTAAGTATTTTTACATGTCGTTTACAGGCTGAATGAAGAATGGATCTTTGCCCAAATATGTTCTGTCCTTTCTATTTAGAAATAAGTCAAGTTTAGACTGTAAAGGAAAAAATACAAATAAGTTTAGACCAAGGATTCTTATCAGATAAAGATGATCCTAATTTTGTATTTTAGCCATTCCTCTGACAGCATAAGACATAAGGAATAATAATATTTAATAATTACTCATTTGCTAAAGGTCTATTTTGCTGCTTTTGTGCCAGGCACTATATTTTGTGCTAGAGAAAGATCGACTAACTACTTTGCTAGGGAATGAGGAAATATGATATGTGTACCCTACCTTATTCCAGAAAGGATTTAAACCTGCTTAGAAAATTGGAAAAGATATGTTTATTGGCCTCCAGATATCTCAAAATAGTTCTGATCTCCAGAACTCTGTAGCTATTCTCTGCATTCATTTGCTGACCATTTGTAGACCTGTTGTGTATTAAATGCTGTACTAAGCAATTTTCTGATGCTGACAGAAGGATGAAAGTACAAGGGGCTCTCTTCATGTGGGATAAATTCTGGGTATCACTTCAAATAGGAAAATGCCAAAGTGATATTTTCATCTGTAGATGAAAACTCAATCATGAATCTTATGATAAGGTGTTAAGTATCCATTGAAACTTTTATTCTTTATGAGAAAAATAGAAATGACCATATGTCTGCACCATGATTAGTAGAAAAAATATGACTATTAAAACTGAGTGATACAAAATCTTGATTCATGGTGGTTTCTTGGATATTCCATTTCCCAAGAGTATTAAACTAGTTAAAGAATCCATTTAGTCACAGACTTAATTCAAGGAAATATCAGTGGTCTTTAATTTTAAAATACCTCCTGTATTTTTTTTCTAGATTCCCCACAGATGAAAACATCAAAAGAAAATGGGTATTAGCAATGAAGAGACTTGATGTGAATACTGCAAGCATTTGGGAGCCTAAAAAAGGAGATGTGTTGTGTTCAAGGCACTTTATGAAGACAGATTTTGACAGAAGTGCTCCAAATGTTAAATTAAAACCTGGAGTCATACCTTCTGTCTTTGATTCCCCATCTCATTTACAGGTTTGTTTATGAGATATGGCTTATCATCATTACTCATTTTTTATGGTACTATTGAAGAATCTTCATCACTCTTGGTAACATTGTTATTGTTTGCTTATTCATTTGAAGTCCATTCTTTGAGTTTTTGCATTTGCAAGCTACTGCTTCAGCTTTTATAATATGTTGTAGGAGTATTTTACCAGTTGCCACTCAGAAATATTTGTTCATTACTAAGGTTTGGTGAAGTGGAGTGACTTTAGGAGTTGACATATCTCAAGATTCTTGTCTGAAAAATGGAGGAACATAGAGGGTTGAACTGAAGTTTTGGATTGCCAGTCCCCCTCATAATGGAGCAAAAGTCAAGAGCAGATCCACTAACTGAACCAAAGTATACTTAAATATTAAATTTAAATTTAAAGCCTAGGTAGGACTAGAGGGAAAGCAAAGGAGATAAACACAGGAGAATGGAATGAGAGAAGAGATCAGAAAAAGAAAATAAAAGGTTAATGTAAGTAAACTCTAGCTGAATTCTCTGTAAAATCTCAAGTGTTATTAGTTATGGGTTGGCTGCCTCACCCTCTGTATCTCTCTTGACTTCATATACCGGAAAGTGTATTTGTTTCCAAAAACTGTAGAGGGACTGCCAATGCAAAAAATTCAGGGAGAGCCTGTGGGTTGCCGCAACAATTGTAATGAACCTGCACTGAAAGGTACCCTTCCTAATCACGAAAACGAGAGAAGTACAGATGGTCCCCAGATCAACAGTTTTTTGACTTTACGATGGTGCAGCAGCAGTAACATTCATTCAGTAAAAACCATACCTTGTATTTTGAATTTTGATCTTCTCCCTGGCTAGTGATATGCACTATCATTATGATGCTGGGCAACAGTAGGGGAGCCACAGGAACCATGAGGAGAAACAACTGATACAGCCTTCTCTACCCATACAGCCATTCTCAGTACAGTATTCAATAAATTATATGAGATATTCAATACTTTATAAAATAGGCTTTCTGTTAAATAATTTTGCCCAACTGTAGCTAATGTAAGTGTTCTGAGCATGTTCAAGGTAGGTTAAGCTAAGCTGTGATGTTCAGTATGTTAGATGTATCAGTGGCATTTTTTTACTTAGGATATTTTCAGTTTATGATGGGTTTGTCAAGACATAACCCTACTGTAAGTCAAGGAAGATCTGTAGTCCAGAGTGTACCTGCTCCCTTACAGTCCTGGTCACTTTCTACACTTGGTCAAATTCCAGGGCCTGAGGGTTCAAGTAGGGACTACTTTACTTTTTCCCATATTAAATGTATAGTATCTTGTGCAATTTGCTCTAAAGGGTTTTTTTCCGTAAATGTATGTAATCTAGCTGTAATGTTAAGAGGACCAAAAGAAATGTGGACATAATAAATAAATCATAAGTTACTAACTTTCAGAAACTTTCTTTTATAACAGAAATTTTTCATTATAGGAAATTAGATAACATAAGCAAAGAGAAAATAAAAATCACATAATCGAGATACTTTTAACACTTTAATATGTATCTTTCCAGCCCTTTGTATGTGTATGTTCTATACAAATTCATTTATATTTATATTAACAAAAATATAATTAGTACACTGGTATATCCTTTTTTTTAATTTGTTCTTTTTTATTTTTTATTTTTTTATGCAGTCTTTTTTTTTTTTTTTTTGGTGTCATTGAAATACACTCTTACAAAGGTTTCACAAGAAAAACAGTGTGGTTACTACATTCACCGTTATTATCAAGTCCCCCCTCATACCCCATTGCAGTCACTGTCCATCAGTGTAGTAAGATGCCACAGAGTCCCTACTTGTCTTCTCTGTGCTACACTGTCTTCTCCGTGACCCCACACACACCATGTGCACTAATCATACCCCTCAATCCCCTTCTCCCTTCCTCTCCACCTGCCCTCCCACACCCCTCCCCTTTGGTAACTGCTAGTGCCTTCTTGGAGTCTGTGAGTCTGCTGCTATTTTGTTCCTTCAGTTTTGCTTTGTTGTTATACTCCACAAATGTAATTTGCTCTTTTTTAAAAAACATTTATATAGGGCTTACTATGTGCCAGGCACTATTCTAAGCACTTTGCATACATATTAACTCATTTAGTCCTCACAACAACCATGTGAAATAAATACTGTTACTATTAAGAAATTTTGTCCTAGAGATGTTGAAGCTTTCACACTAGAATCTACATAAGAATTATCCAGGGAGCTTGCTTAAAATGGAGAATCTTGTGCCCCACTCCAAGAAAATTTGATTCAGTAAGCTTCAGTTGAAATCCGGAAATCTGTACTTTTGAACAAGCACTCCACATGGTAGTGTTACAGAACTATGGATCACGTTTTTAAGAGCAACCTCACGTCAATTTTTATAAGTAAAGTTTTTACTGAAGTATAACAAATATATGTGGAAAAGTGCACACATCTTAAGTGTACAGAACAGTGAATTCTCAGAGTGAATTCAGTTGAGAATCTGTTGTCCAGGAGAACACAAGTTTGAACCTCACAGGTCCACTTATATACAGACTTTTTTCAGTAAATATATTGGAAAATTTTTTAGAGATTGTTGACAATCTGAAAAAACATTCTTATCTCTAGCTTAGTTATTTTAAGAATATAGTGTATAATACATACAATACACAAAATATGTGTTAATTAGCTGTTCATATCTGTAAGGCTTCTGGTCAACAGTAGACTATTAATCGGTAAGTTTTTGAGGAGTCAGAAGTTATATACAGATTTCCAACTATGCAGAATCAGTGCCCTAACCCCCTCTTTATTCAAAGGATCAATTGTACACTCATGTAACTCCTCTCAGATTAAGATACAGAATGTTACTAGTGCCCAAAAGCCTCCCTCGTTCTTTCCCAGTCACTACACCACAAGAGGATTACTATCCTGACCTCTCTCACCATCAGTTATGTAGAGTCATACAGTATGCACTCTAGATACTTAAGCTCATCATTTTGTGTGATTCATCCACATTGTAGTGTGTAGTAGTAGTCCATTTATTTTCTTTGCATTGTAGAATTCCAGCTTTGCTTTTGATACAGATCTCCCAAAGACCCACCAGAATGCTTGTACCAGTCTACTCCCCTACTAGCTCTGCATAAAAGTGTCCACCCTAATCCTCAGTTGTGTTTTAACCTTTGTTAACACTGATAGGTAAAAATAGCTTCTTACTGTTTTAATTTATCTTTGAATATCAGTGAGTTTCTACATTTTTCATGTGTTTCCTTAGACATTTGTATTCCTTCTTTCGTAAGTTACTTATTCAGGTCTTTTTGTATTTTCATCTTTTTCTAAGCTATTTTATAAAAACAATATTGAAGATATGAATCAATTTAATCATTTAATTGCCATTTTTGTCACAATTACTTTTTGTTGTTTGTCTTTAGTTCTAATTATGGGGTTGGTTTAACATTCAAAATGTTAAAATGAAATTCAGACTTTTTTTTTAAGTAGTCAATTCTATATTTTCTTTTGAATTGTCTGACTTTAGCCTTCCCCAGTTTAAGGTTATATAAATATTCCCTTTTTTTCCCTTAGTTCCCCATGGTTTTCATTTTTACATAAATTTTCAGTGCATAGAATTTCATTCATTATGGCTTATTATGTAAAAAGGATAGTACTTTTTCTTAATTAGTTGTTTTTACATGATTTATAGCCTTTCTCCACTTAATTAGAATGCCATTTTTTATCCTAAGGCCCTTTATCTGCTTCATCTATTTCTAGATTTTTATATCTGATCTTAAGAAAGTAGCCCATTATTTTAACTATTGTTACTGTATGATGTATTTTTAATAGTTGGTAGGGCATATCCTCCCCCTCATTATCACTTTTCCTTTTTTAAGGAAAATATGTGTTTCCAGATGAACTTCAGAGTTATGTTGGGGGAGTTCCTTTAAACTAATCTCAGTAGAATTTAAAATGTACTGATTTTTAAAAGCCAGTAAATTTCCATGAAAAGAAATACTGTATAAATACAGTTATGTTAAGAAAGCTATGTACACAGACAAAAAGGAATAAAAATTTAAGAAAGAAAAGAAAAATAATTCTTATTAACTATTCTTAATAGGGGAAAACAGAAGAGCTTCACTGTAGGAAAAACTTCACCCTCGAGACCCTGCCAGTCACAAACCACAATCACCAGTATGTTGGTGCTTCCTCATGTATTGAAGAATTCCAATCCCAATTCATTTTTGTAAGTAAAATTACTAATTTACTGAGCTAATGTTGATTTTTAAGATGTCTTCTCCATTAGAATTAAACTGGGTGCTTAGGTATCTAAGGCTTTTTTTAACATATAATGTCCAAAAATAATAATGCTTCCCAGGGCCATTATAATTTATATGTATATACAATAATAATATAGAGGTAGTTAATCCTTTCATTACATATTTAGTTCAAAGAATACTTTCACAGGATATTTCTATCCAGAAAATGCCATGCTTAATTCCTCCCTCTAGGTAATATATTTTCTATATGCAAATATCTAATAAAGTAGTTATATCTATAGCTTTTCTTCAAAAATAGTCATACACATACAGAATATTCAAGTTTGCACTTGTTTATTCATCTCATTGCTTATCATGTTAGAGCCAGCCTAGAATCCAGGTCTGTTTTACTATCTTGACTACTATAGCTTTATAACAATTATTAAAACCAGGCAATGTTAGTCTTCCTGCTTTATTTTTTTCCCAAGTTGTTTGGGATATTCTAGATATTTTCCATTTTTATATGAATTTAGAGTCACTTTGTAATAATTTCTATAAAAATGGGTGCTGAAATTTTTATTGGGATTGTGTTGAATCTACAGATCCTTTGGAAAGAATTGACATCTTAATAAAACTTTGTTCAGTCTTTCAACCCATGAATTCATTATATCTCTCTGTTTATTTAGGTTTCTTAACTTCTCTCAACAATGTTTTTTAAGTTTTCAGTGTATGGGTCTTTCGTTTCATTTGTCAAATTTATCCCTACGTATTTTAATGTTTGGACATCTATTATAACTGGTATTGTTTTGTTTACTACTAGTATATGGAAATTCAGTTGATTTTTGTATGCCAACTTGTATCTGCCAAACTGGCTAAACTCTCATATTAGTTATAAAAGCTTTTTTGTAGAGGCTGTTAGATTTCATGTCTGTCATTAAAGACGATTTTAATTCTTCCTTTCTAATACGGATTCCTTTTATTTCTTTTTCTTGCTTAATTGCACTGTCTTGAACCTCCAGGGCTATACTGAATATAACTACTGAATGCTGATCTACATGTTTTACTCCTGATTTTTTGGAGGAAGGAATTGTCTTTCACCATTAAATATGATGTTTACTGTAGGTTTTTTGTAAATGCTTTTTATCAGGTTGAGAAAGTGCCTTTCTATTCCCAGTTTGCTGAGAGTCTTTAATCAGAAGTGAATGTTAGTTTTGTCAAATGCTTTTTCTGTATCTACTGAAATGATAAGGTTTTCCTTTTTTAGTTTGTTAACATGATTAGTTACATCAATTGATTTTTGAATGTTAAACCAGCCTTGGAAAAAACCCTACTTTTCATGATGTATTTATCCCTTTTATATTTTGTTGGATTCAATTTGTTAAAATTTTACTTAGAATGTTTCCTTGTATGTTCAAGAGGGATTATGGCCTATAGTTTTCTTTCCTTATAATGTCTTTGTCTGGTTTCAGGATCAGAGTAATGCTGACCTCAGTGAATGAGTTGGAAAACATTGTCTCCTTTTATGATTTTCTGTAAGAGTTTACATAAAATCAGTATCATTTCTTCTACAAATATTTGGAGAATTTTATTTTCTGTAAGAGTTTACATAAAATCAGTATCATTTCTTCTACAAATATTTGGAGAATTCCCCAGTAAAGCTGTCTGGGCATGCAGTTTTCTTTGTAGGGTAGTTTTTTTGGTAGTTGTATCTTCCAAAGGATTTATCCATTTCATCTCAGTTGGCAAGGCTATTAATTTAAAATTATTCATAATATTTCCTTATTATCCCTTTAATATCTGTAGAATCTGTAATGACACCAGCTCTCCCATTTCCGATATTGGTAAATTGTTGCTGTTCTCATTTATTGCTGATCAGTCTGCCTAGAGATTTATGAGTTTTATTAATCTTCTAAGAGAAATAGCTTTCATTGATTTTCTCACTTCTTTGGTCATTTTTGTTTTCTGCCTCATTAATTTCCACTTATCTTTATTATTTTCGTTCTTCTGCTTATTCAGTACTTCTTAAAATGAAGGTTGAGATAATTGATTTAAGGCTTCTTCTCTTTTAATGTGGACATTTAGTGTTATTACTCTCTCCCAAATATTTATCTAGCAGCACTCCACAAAGGAAATGTGGTTTGTTTTCATTTTCATTTAGTTCAGAACACTTCCAGATTCTATTTTGATTTGTTATTTGATCCATGAGTTATTTAGAAGTGTGCCATGTAGTTTCCATATACTGGGGAATTTTCCAGATGTCTTTCTATTAATTTCTACTTTACTTCTGTGGTAGCTGAAGAATATATACTGTATGGCTTGAAATTGCTTGAAATGTCTAAATTTATTGAAAGTTGTAGCCTGGAATATGGTCTATCTTGCCAAATGTTCTGTGTGCATTTGCAAAGAATGTGCATTCTGCTGATGTTAGCTGGAATGTTACAGAAATATCAGTTAGGTAAAATTGATAGTGTTGTTCATCCTTAGTAAATTGTCTATTTGTTCTGTCATTAAGAGAGAGGTGTTTAATCTTCTGGTATAATTGTGGATTTGTCTGATTCTCCTTGGAGTCATCAAGTTTTACTTGTTACATTCTGCAGCACCATTACTAGATACTAAATATTTAGAATTGTTACGTCTTGATAAATTAACCCCTTTATTATGAAGAAATGACCTTTATCCTCTGATAGAAATATACCCATTCTAATTCTCTTTTTTTATTAGTATTATATCCATGTACAGACTGTCCCCTACCTTTGATGGTTTGGCTTAAGATTTCTCAACTTTATGATGGTGTGAAATATGAATACATATTCAGTATAAACCGTACTTTGAGTTTTGGATTTTGATCTTTTTTTAGGCTAGTGATATAGGCAATACAATCCTCTTTCATGATGCTGTGAGGCAGTGGCAATCCACAGCCAGCCTGCTGTCATGAGTGTAAACAACCAATACACATACAACCGTTCTGTTTTTCACTGTCAGTACAGTACTCAGTAAATCACATGAGATATTCAGTACTTTGTTATAAATCAAGATTTTTTTTAATGATTTTGCCCAACTGAAGGCTATGTAAGTTTAAGGTAGGCTAGCATGCTTAAGGTAGAGTAGGCTAAACTATGATGCTTGGTAGGTTAAATGTATTAAATGCATTTTTTACTTAGGGTATTTTCAACTTGTGATGGATTTAATGAGGTAGTAACCCCATCATAGATTGAGGAAACTCTGTATCTCCATCTTACTTTGAACCTATTTGAGTCTCTTTATCTTTGAAGTGCACTCTTTGTAGTCAGCATATACTTTTGGGTCATGATTTTTTTTTTAATTTTGGTATCATTAATCTACAATTACAGAAAGAACATTATGTTTACTAGGTTCCCCCCTTCACCAAGTCCCCCCCCAACATACCCCTTCACAGTCACTGTCCGTCTGCGTATTAAGATGCTGTAAAATCACTACTTGTCTTCTCTGTGTTGCGCAGCCCTCCCCGTGTCCCCCACGCACTATACATGGA